CTAACTCTATTTCCCTTAATCCTATCCTCCCGTCCCATTTATTTTATTCTTTCTTTTGACCCTGTCCCTCCTCAGAAGTATTTGCTTCTGATTGACCTCTTTCCCAATCTGCCCTCCTCTCTATCACCCCTGCTCTCTTGTCCCCTTCTCCCCCTATTTTCCTGTAGGGTAAGACAGATTTCCATACCCAATTGAATGTGTATGTTATTCTCCTTAAGCCAAATCCTATGAGAATAAGATTCCCTCATTCCCTCTCACCTTCCCTGTTTCCCCTCCACTGTGAGAGACTTTTCTTTTCTGTTTTTTTTGTGAGATAATTTACCCCATTCTACCTCTCCCTTTCTTCTCCGAGTATCATCCACTCTCATCCCTTAATTTTATTCTCCAGATATGACCCCTTAATCTTCAACTCACCCTGTGCCCTCTATCTATCTATCTATATACATACATAATTTTTTTCCTTCAACTACCCTAATACTGACAAAGTTCTCATGAGTTAAATATCATCTTTCCATGCAGGAATGTAAACAGTTCAATCTTAATAAGTCTCTTATGATTTCTCTTTCCTGTTTACCTCTTCATGTTCCACTGGAGTCCTGTATTTGAAAGTCAAATTTTCTTTAGCTCTGGTCTTTTCATCAGGAATGCTTGAAAGTCCTCTATTTCACTGAATGACCATTTTTTCCCCTGAAGGATTATACTCAGTTTTGCTGGGTAGGTGATTCTTGGTTGTAATCCTATCTCCTTTGCCCTCCAGAATATTATATTCCATGCCCTGGTCCTTTAATGTAGAAGCTGCTAAATCTTGTGTTATCCTGATTGTGTTTCCACAGTACTTGAATTGTTTCCTTCTGGCAGCTTGTAATATTTTCTCCTTGACCTGGGAACTCTGGAATTTGGCTACAATATTCCTAGGAGTTTTCCTTTGGGGATCTCTTTCAGGAGGAGATCTGTGGATTCTTTCAATTTCTATTTTGCCCTCTGGTTCTAAATATCAGGGCAGTTTTCCTTGATAATTTCTTGAAAGATGATAGGCTCTTTTTTTGATCATGGCTTTCAGATAGTCCAATAATTTTTAAATTCTCTCTCCTGGATCTATTTTCCAGGTCAGTTGTTTTTCCAATGAGATATTTCACATTGTTTTCTAATTTTTCATTCTTTTGGATTTGTTTTACAGTGTCTTGATTTCTCATAAAGTCACTAGCTTCCAATTGCTCTATTCTAATTTTTAAGGAAGTATTTTCTTCAGTAATCTTTTGGACTTCCTTTTCCGTTTGGCCAATTTTTCTTTTTAGGGCATTTTCTCCTCATTGGCTTTTTGGACCTCTTTTGCCATTTGGGTTAGGCTATTTTTAAGGTGTTCTTCAGTATTTTTTGGGGTCTCCTTTAGCAAGCTGTTTTGACTTGTTTTTCATGATTTTCTTGCATCACTCTCATTTCTCTTCCCAGTTTTTCCTCTACTTCCCTTACTTGCTTCTCAAAATCCCTTTTGAGCTCTTCCAAGGCCTGGGACTGATTCACATTTTTCTTGGAGGCTTTGGATGTAGGAGCTTTGACTTTGTTGTCTTCTTCTGGTTGTATATTTTGATCTTCTTTTTCATCAAAGTAAGATAATATAGTCTGACTCTTTTTGTGCTGCTTGCTCATGATCCCAGCCAATTACTTGAGTTTTAAACTCTTTGTTAAGGTAAGAGTCTGCTTCCAATGTGGAGAGTGTACTGTCCCAAGCTTCAGGGGTGTGTATAGCTGTTTTCAGAGATACTTCTAGGGACCTGTAAATTTTCAGTTCTTCCAAGGTGGTATGATAAGGGGTGAAGTGTTTACTCCTTTCCTGGCCTGTGACCACAAGTTCTCCTTTCTGTCCTGTAACTGTGAAGAAGGTCTGCTCTCTACAGCCACTATAAGCTACACCACTCCAGCGCTCCTCCTCACTCCAGCACCGCTGCCCAGAACTGTGACCCAGATCCACACACAGGCAAAGCAAGAGATTCCTGCCTCAGCACTGGTAAAGAGATCCCTGCAATCCCTCTCTGATCAGCCACTGGATTCCCCCTCAGTCTGTGGGCCGGAAGCTTGGGAAGCAGCTGCCCCCTCCAGGGCCACGGTTTTGGGGAATGGAACTGAAACCCCGCCTTCCTCTTTGAGCACTGGCAGAAACAGACTTTTCCCACTGACCTTCTAAGTTGTCTTTGGCATTGGTGGATTGAGGAGTCTGGAAACCTCCACAGCTGCCCATGATTCAGTCCTCTTAGGCCTGCTCCAGGTTTGCTGTAGCCTGCACACCCAAGCTGCGCTGCGCTGTGCTCCCAGCCTGGCCTGATACACCTTTCGAATCAATCATCCAGGTTGTCTTGGGCTGGAAATTTGTTTCACCCTGTCTTTTTGTGGGTTCTGCTGTTTCAGAATTTGTTTAGAGCCATTTTTTATGAGTATTTGGTGGGGTTTGGGGGGAAAGCTCAAGCAAGTCACTGCTTTCACTCCGCCATCTTGGCTCCACCCCCCCCAAGCTATTGTTGAGGAAGTTGAGTAATCTAGAGAGTGCATGGATCACCCACTCGAAATGGTGATTTACCAATCAAGAGAGGGGACCTCAGGGCAAAGGCTTCTCCAAAGCTGCTGGAAAAGTAGAGAGGGGGCAGCTAGGTGGCAGCTAGGTGGTGCAGTGGATAGGGCACTGGCCCTGAAGTCGGGAGGACCTGAGTTCAAATCCAGCTTCAGACCAAACACTTGACACTTACTAGCTGTGTGACCCTGGGCAAGTCACTCAACCCCAATTGCCTTCAAAAAAAAAAGATGAAGTAGAGAGGATTGGAGAGTGAGCCAGAGTGAGGGATTCAAAAAGACCCATTTAATGAGGCTTATGAGGGGCATTACATTTTAAGTCAACCGGACAGTGCCAACAAATGGAAGCACCTTCTGTATTCAAGGCATGGATAAAAAGAGAAAGACAAAAACAAAGCAGCCTCTACTGGACAAGATCAAGAACTCACCAGCTACAAAACATTTTAAAGCATACACTAACCAAGGGATGATATAACTCCTTAGGAAAATAATGAGTAATACTGCTATTCATTTTTTAAAACAATTTTTATTGGTAATCAAAACCAGACTGGCTATAAAAGATCAGGATTATCTTATTAGTGGCAATTAGGTTACCTAGTAGATAGACCTGAATTTGAATCCTATCTCATATTTACTAGCTGTGTGACCCTGGGAAGGTCAATTAACTCTATTTGCCTCAGTTTCTTCATTTGTAAAATGAGGATAATAATAACACCTCCCTCACAGGGTTGCCATGAAGATAAAAAAAGATATAGCCATCTTACATGACTTTTTTTTTTATTACTATTACTCTTATTATTCTCATTCACTGACCAAATGTTAATTTCCTCATCTATAAAATCAAAAGGGTTAGAGATTAGATAAAATTTATGATGGTTCAATTTGTTATCTTTGTAATCCTTCTTAGATCTCTCTCCCTCTCTCTATCCACCCAGGATCTACCTTAGTTAAACTCAAACACAGACAGAGGTGAAATTTAAGAAATTAAGTAACCAGAAAAGAATGGCACAGAAATCAGTCAAACAATGTCTTTAAGGTGAAGGCTACAGTAGTAAATTGGAATGGCATTGTAATAATCTATGTAACTAAGAACCAAAGATCTCCACAGTTTAGCCTCAATTTGGATTTTTCCAAACAGAGGCCTCCTTTGTCCGCATCCATTTCCTAGCATGCACTTGGCCATGGTTTTGAATCCAAACTACCTAGATGGAATACTTTATTCACATAATGTTCTCGAGACATTATGAAGGAGCCAAGAAACCTAACAACATGCATATCATCTCTGTCAATGCGAAGGCAGATGGAAATATAAAACAAGAACATATTGATGTGCTTTGAATTCATACTTTTTAGCCCTAAGGTCATAAAAAGATAGCATAGATGCCTCTAATCTGTCTCTCTGTCTCTGTCTCTGTCTCTCTGTCTCTCTGTCTCTCTCATACACACACACACACACACACACACACACATGCACACACACACACACACACACCATATAGATATATATGTTTCTGTGTGTATTAGACATATACACTAACATGAAAATTTCTTCTCAATGTAGTTCATGAATGACCTTGACAGACCTTTAGCAAAAAGGAGCATCTTTGCTAGAAATGTTTTTGGTTTTAGAACCAGAAAGATACATGTAGCAACCAGAATATCTCCTCTCTATGGATGACATATATTTTCCACTTTATCTATTTATTTTTATTGGCTAAGAGACTGCTGATCAAGGTCAAAACTAATCATATGTTAAGACCATGGGAACTGTCACATATCATATATGGTTTCAAAGAACTACCAACTAATATTAGCATATTTCTACCACTGGCATAAGCACATCTGCTGAACTAATCTATAATTTCACACCTGAAAAGTCACATCATTTCTAGCTAATATGTCTCAACCCATACCCTGACAATTACCAAATCAGGCAGATGTCACATGCCTGGGATAAAACTTTCATTTCACTCAATCTTTGCCTTCTGTGGAATTTCAAGATCAAATATTCTCAAACATTTTTCATTTATATCACAATATGCATTCAAGATCTGAGTGAAGATCCAGTCATTTCATACATCTTGATACCAATAAACCAACCACTTTGCCCACTGAGCTGTTTGCCCACTCCTGAGCACTACCACCCGGAAAGCTCCAGAATATTTCAGCTATGCAATGTAAAACGGATTAAGAAGCATCAATATAGGCACCACACAGACACTGGATCATGTATAATCATCATAGTGGAGAGAGAGAGAGAGAGAGAGAGAGAGAGAGAGAGAGAGAGAGAGAGAGAAAGACAGAGAGACAGAGAGAAGAGAGAGACAGAGAGAGAGAGAGAGAGACAGAGAGAGAGAGAGAGAAGAGAGAGAGAGAAGAGAGAGAGAGAGAGAGCGCATGAGAAAACTTGAAATAGCATAAGAAGATCAGGAACTTACATTGTCCATATATTCTGAAAGCAAGTCCTGGAGAGCTTGTCGGATGGAGTTACACTCAGTGATGATGCGTTCCCGGTGGAAGTCCCGTGTGCAGGAAGAATCGGCCAACAGGGCTGCCCCACTGATGATGGCCTCCAAGCGTTTCTCAAGAGAGGGGCGGATTTTCTCGTCCCTCACTGTGAGTGGATCCAAGATCACTAAATCCTAAGGAGGGAAAGGTTCGGGCAGGTTAGAATTCCGCAGCCTTTCTTGAAACCTCTTTTTGCTAGAAGGTAACTTGCATCTTGATGATGATCTTTCATATGAGAATTTATGACAGCAAAGGAGCATGCCTTAGAGCCCCATAGACATCTCTCTTGAAGGCTTATTTCAAGTGTTATCTCTTAAAACAGGCCTTTCCTGATTCCGTCACTTACTCTGCATCCGTACTCATTCATGTGCACACAGATATCATTATGTCCTTGGTGGGACGTGACCTCCTTGAAGGTAGGGGACGATGAGTGTGGAACACTGTGTATAATTTCAATTTTTTTCAATATGTTGGTTAGTTTTGCTGAGCCACTTTTCACCTATTAATTATTTCATTATTATAAGGAAAGTTTCTCTGTGAAGAAGAGAAAACAAGTGTGCATTAGGAAATGAAGGCAATATGAAAACAAAAGATAGGGATGGCGATCAGACGTGTGGTTTCATTGGTCTAGAGAGTTCCCAAATGAGAACCTTCCCCTGGTAGGTATCTTCCTTTTGACTTACTGTGTTCAAGAGCTGGCTAGAATGACAAGATGTTGTCAGTCAATAAACATTTGTTGTGTCAGGCACAGTGCTAAGTGTTGGGGATACAAAGAAAGGTAAAAGTCTCTGCTCTAAGGATCTCACAATCTACTAGGGGAGGTAACATGCAAATAACTAGGCACCAACAAGCTGTATACAGGCTAGATTGGCAATTAACCAGATTGACCAGAGTCAAACAAACAACATGTGTCAGAGACAGGATTTTGAAATAGAGGTCAATAAAAAATATTTAGGGATTTTTTTCCTTAGAATATAAGCTTCTTGAGGACAGGAACTATTCTTTTAGTCTTTGCATGCCCAGTTAATAGCATATACTCAGTAAATGTTGAACTGACTCTATCATGTGCTCCTCCCATGCATCACTGTTTTGGACTTCACTTTACTCTTAAGGGGATTAGATGAAGTCTCTACTTCTAAAAGCATAGTATCAAGAGGAAAGAGCATCTGCAGAGATCATTTTGTCCAAACTCTTCATTTTATAGAATGTGAGGGGAGGAGAAGAGAGCAGGAAAGAAAGCCTATTTTACAGAGTACTTTATATACAACCGCACTAAGACTTTTAGGACACACTGTACCTTATTTCGCTTGAGCTTCATAACAACTTTATGAATAAAGGACTTCAGATATTATCATATTCCTTCCACATATGACAGACCTAAAGCCCTAAGATCTTACGTGACTTTTCAAAGGTCACCAGATAAGATGCCAGCCTAAGAGTTAGACTTAAGTCTCCCAATTGCAAATCCAGGCCTTCTTCCTGAGATTCTAAGGATCCTACTAATTTACTGAATGATTTTCTTTTTAATTCATAAGATCACAGACTACAGAGCCAGAAGGGGCTTTAGATGTTAATCCATCCATTTTACAGCTGAAGAAACTGAGGCCCCAAGTATTCAAGTGGCCTGATGTCATAAAGCTGGGAAATGACAAAACTGAGATTGGAGCCAGTTTCTCTGATTCTGTTTTGAATGCTCTTTCCCTTTTTCCATGTCATCTGCCTTTCCTGCTTTTCATTTCCCTTCTTTCTTAATAAGCCTCTCCATTTGGGCCCCTACACATTAATAGCCTGAAGAGATATATTAGGAAACTAGTTTACAAGATCCCCTTGGGAGAGGAGGGGTGGTTGGAAAATCACCCCCCCCTTTGTTTGTGCATTCATCTTTTATCTATTAAAACATAATCTTCTTGAGGGTTGAGGGAAGAGAAGAAGCCGGACCAAAAGTCAGTCAGCAATCCAGACTGGCAGAGTTTTAAGGTACTGCGCCTATGGGACAGATGTTATTCATTCATTTGTTTCTAAACCCACCCCTTCATTCCATCTGCCTCTTGCTCCTTGATGGCTTCTGTCAGTACAAACTCTCCACTTCAGTGCTTAACAGCAAAAATTAAGCCAATTAAAATCACTGAAATGGCCCTCCGATGCAATTTTGCCATTAAGAAGGGGTTCCAAGAGAAAATCAGATGGCTCCATTATTGCTCAGATATAATTAGAAGATATAATATGGAAATGAAAACTTTTCTGTTTCCATATTATCAAGAAGATCATTTCAGTTCACCAAGTTGCAAATGTATTACTGTTGAAGTTAGTGTAAAAACTTTCTAAAAACCACAACACCTCCAATACTATCCCATCTTACCAGAGGCCCCAGAACCTTCCCTAGCCAGCAGGGGGCAGCCTGGCGCAACATGATGAGTACTAACTTTGGACCGGATCACATAGATTTATATCCTGGTCCCTACATGGTTATTACCTCTGTGACCTCAGCTCAAAATGGGATCTGTTTTTTTTTAAATGATAGATGATAGATAGATAGATATAGATAGATAGATAGATAGATAGATAGATAGATAGATAGACAGATAGATAGATAGTTGTCTTGTTTTGGAGTTGGTTTTGCAGTTAAAAATATTCTGAGAGGGGTCCATAGGCTTCATGAGACCACCAAAGAGGTCCATAACACACATACACAAAAAATAAATAAATAAAATAAAGACTTAAAAACCTCTGGGCTAGATGACTCCCAAGGTCCCTGCCATCAGCTACAATTTTACAGGATCTCAGGGGTCAGTTAGTCCAGTCCTATTTGAACAGAAATCTTGACAACATTCAAAAAGCAGCCTTTCAGTTTTCTCTTGAGTACTTCAATGAGGGGGAACCCAAGACCTCCAATGGCAGTCCATTCTACTTTGGGGTAGCTCTAATTTCTTAGGAAGTATTTCCTTACATGTAGCCAAAACCCACACCTCTTAACCTTCCCTTTGCTCTTTTGGGGCTAAGCAGCACAAAATGTTCCACAAATTGAAGACATCAATGGTGTCTCTCCTAAGTCTTCCCTCCTCTAAGCTAAATCTATCCAGTTTCTTCTACTGATACTCATGTGCCATGATCTACACTCCATGTTACCATGCTTGGTCATTATCTTCAATGATGGGATGAGCATTGATTAATGTCTATCATGTACTAAGCACTGTGTCAAGTGTTGGTGATACAAAAGACAGCCTCTCCCCACAAGGAGCTTGCATTCTAATGAAGGGAAACAACACATAAAGTGGAGGGGTAGCCAGGGGATGAGTTTTGTGGTGAGACTGAATGGAATATAAATAGGAGCCACCAGGTGGTAAAGTGAGTAGAATTTCAGGCATCACCATCAGGAAGACCTGAATTCAAATAGAGCTTCAGATACTTATTAGCTATGTGACCCTGGGACATAATTTAACCCTGTTTGCCTCAGTTTCCTCTTCTGTAAAATGAGCTGGAGAAGGAAATGACAAACTATTCTTTACCAAGAAAATTCACCCAAAATGGGGACAAGAAGAGCTGAACACAACTGAATAACAACAAAGGTGAATGGAAGCAGATGAAAGTAGATCAATATATCTTTTCCAGTAACCATGGCAGTATTGATTTCATTATAGTTCCAGAAAGGGAGGGAGGGGCAGAGAACCATGAAAAGAGCACACTAAGCAACTTGTCTTGTGTTTCGTCATATGTGGTAGGTAGAATAAAACAAACTATGTGCTATGGATGATCCAAGAGCATGTTTAATTCTTGGGGGCGGAAACTTTTATTTTTGTCTTTGTAGTGGAAACTTTAGTATAGCACGTGGTACACAGTAGGCACTTAATAAATTAGGATGGTGTTCCTAGCATAACAAAAGAGGGCAGAAGCAAGCCAGTGACTGCTCTAGATGCATCTGGTGCCAGTATAATTGATGATATTTCTGGCTCAAGTTAACAGACTCCGAAATTGTCTCATTAGCTTTAAAGACTTACCTAGTTCCCAGTTCTTTGTCTGACCACCTGAATTCAATCCATGCCCTATCACCACACCTTTGCATTGGTTATTTCCACCCCTTAAACTAGATTGAATTCCTTCCTCACATCCACTCCTCAAAATCTCTCAGCTTCCTTCTGGCTCAACCTCCCTCCTACAGGGAGTGGTCCTTAATGTTCCCTCCTGCCTCAATTTACTCATCTTTTTATATTTGTATTCTCATAGCACAATGTAAACCCCATGAAGGATGGGAAGGGACTGTAGTTTTTAATCTCTGTATCCCCAGCACTTGATAAAAGGAGCCTGGTATAAAGGGTGAAGGATTGACCTTGAAGTCTGAGAGAAGTAGGTTCAAGTCTTGCCTCTGACTCATACTGCCTTTATGACCAAAGAACGTCTCTTAATCTTTTAATGTCCCAGTTATTCTCAGAGATTTTCATCGTCAGTCAACAAGCATTTATTAAGCACTGAGGAAAGAAAGAAAGACAAAAACATGGTCCCTTCTCTCAAGGAGGTTCTATTTTAATAGAAATTAATAGAGGAATTGATTTGCATTGGTGGAGGGAATTCCATACATCAAAGAAACCACAGCTCCAATACTCCCTCTCTCCTCTCTCTCTCTCTCTCTCTCTCTCTCTCTCTCTCTCTCTCTCTCTCTCTCTCTCTCTCTCTCTCTCTCTCTCTCTCTCTCTCTCCCTCTCTCTCCTACCACAATGCTTTACAACTGGCAGGCACTTAATAAATGTTAGCTGAATTTAACCAAATTGAATTACTTTTACCTGGATTCTATGCTTGTGTCCTTAACTCCTAGTTCTGGCTTTGCCTGAAATCAATGAATCAGCAGGCACTTAAAATGTGCAGGCACTCTGCTAAGTGCTAGGATGTAAAGAAAAACCAAAAACAGTCCCTGCCCTCAAAGAGTTTCTATTCTAATTAGGGAGACAACAGGTATATAAGTAGGTACAATAATGTACCTAAAAATTCCTTGCTGCTGTTGACCTTACCCTGACATAAAATAGCTCACAAAAGAACCAGACTCGTTCCTAATTAGAGGCAGTCAGGATAAGGGCACCACTGACTCTCTAGTAGGAACACAACTTAAATAATCATTTTTAATACTGTCTTCCACACATGCAGT